ATCTGTGTTTTTAACCCGTCTGATGGACTCCGGCGAGGGGTTTGGCCGCGACTTGAGGTACTGCTTGTAGGCGTTTTCTGAGACACGGAGCAGATTTTGCAGGTCCAGGGAGTTTTCGTGAGACGTGATCAGATGAGCACTTTCATCATCCAAGATCCTCTGAGGGACTCGGCCAAACACACCTTCTGAATCTGGAGTACAAAAAAGAAATGCAGACATTTCAATACAGTGACAGATAAAAAGAGCACTAAATAAAGTTTATTAGCAACCTCAAATGTGTAGCACATCAGTTAAACAGTTCATCTGTCACTTTAAGACCTGACAGGCATGCAGTAGAGTCTACCTTGTGTTTGTTCAGGTGAAGCAAACTGAACTGGTCGTCCTAGGAAGAGGTGGAGGCCGTAGACATAAGGCATTTCATCAGGACAAATCAGACTATAGGCTATGCCACTTTGGCCCGCTTGTCCCACACGCCCCAATGGGAAAAGACAGGGGAAAAATACACGTAATGCTGGCCTAATCATTTCAAATTAAAGAAGCTGAATCACTTTGTTCCTTCTGCATACAGCTGCTCACCAACTCTGTGCAAGAAAAGCTTGGCCTTGGAGGGGAAGTTGTAATTGATGACATTATCCAGCAGGGGGATGTCTATACCACGAGCAGCAACATCAGTCACCAGAAGCACAATGGCTTTCCGATGCACAAATTTCCCAATGTTGATCTTCCTGGCAGTCTGATCAAGGGCACTGTAGATGTAGGCACACTCTAAACCTTCTAACGACAGCAGCTGGACATCAGGGGGAAAAAAGAAGAAGTCAACTAAAGCTCTAGTTTTTAAAACAATATTTAACATTCTCACAAATTTAGGCTACACTGTTATCTTACCTCCTTTAGGTACTCCACATGGTGTTTGGTGGCAGCAAAGACCACTGACTGTTCCTGAGGCTTCACTACGTTCCTCAGGAGGTGGAGCAGCAGAGCCGGCTTGTCATCCACACGCAGGTGAAGGAATGACAGCTGATGAAAGTTAGAAGAAATGAAAACATGACTTTTGCTTTGGGCTTTACATTTAAATCATTCAACATTTCTGGGAGAAGAATACAAAATGTTTGAATAGCAAGTGTCTGAAGACAGAGCAACAAGTAGAAAGACCAAGACAATGACACAGTAGCTGATTTAACATAAGTTAGCATGTAGAGTAGATGCAATAATCCTGTACTGAGGTTGTAATAAATAATGCAAAACCTTCCATCTAATTTCTCAGATTAAACAAAAGGTAAATAAAACAAAAGCAAATTCTGCCTTTTTACCTTGATCTGATCACTGAGCTTGGAATCCACATCTAAACGAATCAGTACAGGCTCTGTCAGACCTGAGAAAAAAGTTTGTATACACCGGTGTGAATATAATTAGGATTATTTGCCTTTAGATGCTAAAAAATATGGAAGCTAAATTGAATGAATATGCTTTATGATGAGAAAATAAGCCAGAAAAATGTTGAGAATCTACACCGTGGAGGGTTAATTTATTAGATAAATGTCTACAGAAAAAAGAAATTGATCTCTGTATATATACACGT